AAGCCCAGATACTTCATGCATTATGGATAAAACACTAACAGAGGACATTTTACTGCAAAGAAAGTCCATGTTTCTAATTCATCCTTTTACCTATTTTGGATTGAATGCAGGACTTTGACTTGTAGTGTTGTACTTTAACCAGGGCTGCCAACACTCACGCATTGAGCGCGAGTCACGCAATTAACCCATATCTCACGCACTCACGCCACACAAGCCTTCATTATAAGAGTCGCGGGTACACTGTGTATGTGCGTATTCCACTGGAGCGCCCGGTACTTTACTGGGAAACCCTAGTTTGTACATGTTCAATACATGTGTAACACTGTACACATGAACGTTTCTTTTTTCGGATCACCAAAAAAAAAATCTCACTCCAAGCTGAACTCAAATGTTGACAGCCCTGCTTTAACAGTGTTGCATAAGTGCATTCAGTTATATGATCGAAATACTTCTTAAAATACAGGCTACTTAATCGAAACAATAAACCAAAACACACGTTATGACTAACATTAAATACAAAGTAACATACAATATAATTCTCCAACGGCTAAACACCTGACACAAACTGACGCCGCTTGTTAGCCACATAGCCTAGCTTCTTGGTTAGCATGACAATGTTAACTCTCTTTAATGGTCATAATATCGAAACCAACTGAGTTTTATTTGACTCATTCATAACACAGATTTATTTGTGGTATTTTAAAGCTATTGTAACGTTATAAATGTGTACAGAAATGATTATAAAAATAATAAAAACAGAGTTAGCATTATCAAGGCTAGCACCGTTAGCCACTTGAACGCACGATGTAAACAAAGGTTTTGCCAGCTTGAAACTGACAGTTGGTGAATGTTCAATCATTGAAATGTAAATGTAAGAACATATACAATATAAATATATGCTTAAGTGTTGTTATTTTCGTGTAAATATCTTAGTAACAGAGAAAGATTTACCTGCTAATTGTAGCAAAACAAACATCGGTCATTAGCGCTGGTTTCCGTGTGAAGGACCCTCTCATGATGCATCCACAATAACGCCTTACTGAAAATATCCAGATATTTACTTACTTTAAAATTATATTTGTGTCGTGTATAGACACATTCATATTTTATATTTAATGTTATTGCTTTGTTTCTTTTCCCAGGGGTATTGTATTTTTATTTTGGTACAATTGTGTCATATGGACAGGCAGTTTTTAAGACAGCTACTCATTGGTGTACAAAGCAATGGTTGACAGTTTCTTTAAAATCATGTATTCAGTTATGTGTCCACTTAGTCCGTGTACCTTCGTTTCAATTGTTGTTCTTTCTTAAGCCAGTCAATGGAAAAGCGACTGCAATTTAGTTTTAGTTTTTTCAGTTAATTAATGTACGGAACTCGCGGGAGTAATTTCAAAAATAAAAGCACACGTCTGTTAAAGTGTGGACCTATAAAGAGATCAATCGACACTTGATATATAAAGATGTTAAGATGTCTTTGGAATTACAAGATAAAGGCCTTTAAATAAATGCATTAATGTGTTTTCTGCAGTCTATATTGATAAGACTAGCGTTACAAAGGGCTTTCCATAGTTCGGTTTATTTTGAAAGATATTGACGGATCAATAACTCAAGCAGGAAACACACTTAATGTAAAACTGTGCTTTTGAACTCCCATTGTCCCTGTGCATTGCAGTCTCGATGCTACCTTGTAATGTAAAGAAAACACAACCTTACATGGAATTAAATTCCATTAAAAGCAGAGTAAACTAAACTGGACCTTCATAGAAAAACAAAACAGTGTGAGAATGTTTTACTGCATCGCCAAAATGTTCCTTCCCAGGAGATTACAGGTATTTTCCATCACATTCATTCATCTGAACAGCAGCTCTCTCTGTGTGTGGGTGTGTGTGTGTGTGCGTGCGTGCGTGCGTGTGCGTGCGTGCGTGCGTGAACAAGGGGTGCTGTTGTAGAGTTATTGACATTACTGAAGGCTCAGCTCAGAGCTACAGGAAATCTAAACAGAAGAGCTGTTCACAGGAACATTTAGGTGTGGTTGTAATATATGAAGCCGTGTTTACATTTTGTACAACGAGCACCTACAGTAGGTTTACTGACTTGTTTCTCTTACAGTTAAACCTAAGGCAAGACCCAGGTTTCCTTGATCTTTACATTTTCTGTAACTCCATATCGCTTGATTTCAGAGGGTTAGGGTTGTTTGTTTTGTTTTTAAATTGAACATGCTAAAACGGCCTTCGTTTGTGATTTTTTTGCACATTAAGTATTAACACAAATCCACAAGAGTCCATATTGCATTATTTTTGATTATTTCAGTTTCATTTGATGTAAAACGATGCATTGTTTTAACAAAAAAAACGATTTTAAAGAACTGTCATTACATCAGTTTTTATTCAGCAGGCCGAGCATGTTCAACACGGTGAAGTGAAATGACAATTGTTAACGTTTTGTAATCTGAAGTAGAAATCACAGCTAGGTGGGAATGATGGAAATCCTCATCACTTCCTGTAGAAAGAACTGATACAAACATGTGAACAAATTAGGAAAACATAAATTAAAATAACACTGAAGGAGACTAACAGCAGGATAGTCACTAAAATACTGTGAAACCGTTAAACTTATTATTTATTAGCTTTTGATCGGTGACGTTATTTGTTATTTGGCTCAAAAGTGTAGAAAATACTGATTGATTGATGAATAACATACAGGAACAGCTTGAAAGTAATTGGACTATTGTCTCAATACAATAATTGATTGCATGAAAAAAACTGTGGTTTCGAATTAAAGTCAGTTTGAAAAATGTTCATTTATGTGCTTTGCATTTTAAAGTCTCATTAAGTCAAGAACGCCTTCTATTCCCAGCATCCAGTTTCCCTTTAAAAAATTACTTTTGTTGATCAAAAATCCACGTGAAAAGCGTTGAAATGTCGGTGAACAGCGATGAAAATCTTCACTCTTCTAGAAAAATATTTTTTTTTATATATATATAAAGAGTTCTCTGCAGGCGTTGGCCAATGGCAGGAGTCCGTGCAGATGATTGACAGGTGCGTCAGCCTATGGTCTTTGAGTGAGGCGACTCTTCCCCTCCTCCTGTTCGGCCAGCTTGAAGTGAGTGTAAGACAAAATACCAGCCAGAGTGCAGAGGATCCCCAACGCCTGAACGAGGGACAGAAGGAGAAGAAGAGAAAGATATTCAGAGGAAATTGTTATGGGAAGGGAGACAGAGGTTGTTGGTTTGAATCCTTAGGGCAGCAGAGTAAGACTCACCTGGTTGATTGATATCGGGTCATGGAAGATCAAGTATCCTCCAACCAGAGTGATGCAGAATTTGAAATGTCCAAACATGTTGTAGCTGCAATTAAAGTCAGGAAAGCAACAACACAAAAACAGATCAAATAAAGTTTAATATCTAGAATCATTTCCAGAAGCCTTTCAAGACTTCATGAACTCTCCCAGAAACGTATACATTAAGATAAAAGATCTTCTACAGAACTGAAGAAACCCCTTAAGTAAGATTATACATATCCTCACAAATCCACCATAACTCCCTTAGAAGACCAGATGACCCCCCAAGAACTAAGAAACCTTACAATAGCCCCTAAAGAAAACCCTCAAGAGGCGCTTTCACACCGGAGTACTTTTCCCCTTTAGTTCCTGGAATTTTGCGTTCACACCAAAAAGACAACTTAGTTCATGAGAACTTTCCCCCCATTGTTAGTCCATACTAGAGAGGTGGTACTTTCCTGGGGAGAAAAAAGTTCCAATTGCAAACCGCGCCCCGTAAAACTCTGAAAAGTTTTGTGAAGCCGCCATTTTATTTGCTGGCATTAGCATTATTAGCATTAGCATTAGCCCCGCGCACCAACGGAGAGAGGCTAACTTATGGCAAAAAAAAACAAACGTGGGAGCGGTGGAGATGAGGAGGTGTCTGCGTTCTGGCGATTTACTCGGAAGGCTTCAGTAGAAGTTGCTGGG